AATCCTACTTCCGTAGTGATACTGCCTCGGAAACCCAAGGAGGGGTCTCTATGAGTCGGGGCCGACTCGACGGCACATCATAACAACAACATAACAACAATATATTTCAAATAATATTTAGGGTGAAATAGGTTTCAGGATGCATTATTAATATAATAGAAACACCAGTGGCTATTTGGGCACCTTTTGTTTAAGGTTTATTTTTGCTGCTGTTTTGACAAAATACTGAAATGCAGAAGATGGACTGCTGCGGAGGAGAAGATGGTGATTATAGGGCCGTGTCCTGCGCTGACGCGGTTCGGTTCTGTGTGCTCCACTCATGGCTGTGATAACTGTAAGCAAAGAAGCTTGTAGTGAGTGTTGTCTTCACTTTGTGATGAATGGCTCTTTCCTTTGCAGCCAAACAGGCAAAAAGTTAATGGCGAAGTGTCGAATGCTTATCCAGGAGAATCAAGAGCTTGGAAGGCAGCTGTCCCAGGGCCGCATTGCACAGCTTGAAGCAGAGTTGGCTTTACAGAAGAAGTATAGTGAGGAGCTTAAAAGCAGTCAGGATGGTAAGGGATACTTTGAAAAGTTTGCTTAACTTTGCACTGGCATTAAGAACACTGCCAGGCATGACTCCAGAGGTTAGATCCTGCACTTCCTAACCTCTACCTGTGGGTGCTGAAAGTTAGCAGTGAAACACTTTGGAGAAAAAAGTAAGAGCAAACAAAGTCATTCTGTTCTTATGTGGGTGTGTGTTCAATCCTCCTAATTGTTTACTGTGCCAGCTTTATTAAGTAGTTGTTATTTAGGGGGGGTAGGGAGTTGATGAAAGAAGCATGGCAGAGACGGACACATTTATATTCAGTGCTTGAAAAGGAGACTGTCTCAGCCATTTTCTCTAGGTAAATCTTGGAAACATTTGGCTGTTCCCAGTGGTCTGAAAATAGGTCATTGTATTTGTGATGGTCCTGTTTCGTGAATAGAAGATTTAGTATTAAAGTTTGCTGAGACAAACCAAAGCGCTCTGGTGGGGCACTGGTTAAAGCACTCGGCTGCTAACTAAAAGATTGGCAGTTGGAACACACCGGCTGCTCCATGGGAGAAGGGTGACACAGTCTGCTTCCATAACAGTGTGTACGGCCTTGGACATCCTGCGGGGCAGTTTTACTCTGTTCGTAGAATTGATTAGTCGGAATCGACTCAACAGCAGCAGTTGAGTTTTTTAAGACAAACCATACTTGGTCGTCAGCTCCTTTTTTTGTAAGTGTAGCTGCATCCCTGTGGGTTCTCCTCACTGTGAGGAAAATTAATTAATAGTAAGGAAAATACCCAGCCTTTGAAAAATTAAATTGGTTGTTAGTATATGTCAGAGTAGTACTGTTAAACATACTTTTTCAAGTGAGTTCTTCGCTTTTAATACTTAGAAACATAGTATATTGATTTTATGTGGCAGTGTGGTGTTTTTTGTTTTTTTTTCTTCAGAACTTTCAGAATTTGTTGACAGTCTTCAAGAATTATATTCTATGTCTTTTGCTCTTGTATGTGCAACAAACAGTCCCTGGTTATAGCGAGGCTAGTAACCACGTGGCCTCACTCTGGTGGAATCATGTCCCGTACTGTCTCCTGAAGGGCTAAGCTGCTGTGGAGCTTAGATTGACACGGGCCAGGAGGGGTAGGGGGCAAGGGCCCTGAGCTAAATTTGGGTCCAGTTTTGGTGGCTGTGACCAGATGTCCATGGCTAGATGGTTTGGGTAGGTACAAACTTCATTGCTTTAATATATTTGATTTTAAGCTCTATCTTTCCTTCAAAATAAACTCATTCTTGTATCACTATTTTAAAATTCTGGGCACAATTTTTAAAACATTGTTACAAATTTAGACCTGTATCTGTCTATTTAACAAATGTTTATTGACTGCCTGGCTTTGTGGGAGCCACTAAAATATTTTGAACTAAGTCATGAGAGATATTAAAGTAGGTCTGACTCTCCTTTGCACAGAACTGAATGACTTCATCATTCAACTCGACGAAGAAGTGGAGGGTATGCAGAGTACCATCCTGGTTCTTCAGCAGCAGCTGAAGGAGACACGCCAGCAGTTGGCTCAGTACCAACAGCAGCAGTCTCAAGCCTCTGCTCCAGGTACCAGCAGGACTACATCTTCTGAGCCTGGGGAGCAGGCCGAGGCCACCGGTAAAGACTGCAGTCGCCTGGCTAACGGACCGAGTAACGGCAGCTCCTCCCATCAGAGGACGTCTGGGTCTGGCTTTCACAGGGAGGGGAACACGGCTGAAGAGGACTTTCCTCCTTCTCCGGGGAATGGGAATAAGGTCTCCAACAGCTCTGAAGAGAGAACTGGCAGAGGAGGTAGTGGTTACATAAACCAACTCAGTGCGGGGTATGAAAGTGTAGACTCTCCCACGGGCAGTGAAAACTCTCTCACACACCACTCAAATGACACAGACTCCAATCCTGACCCTCGAGAGGAGAAGGCCGTGGGCGGGAAAAGTAACCGAACTGCAGCTTCCCGCCACGTGCAGAACGGCTTGGACTCAAGTGGGAATGTACAGGGTTCAGTTTTGTAATATTTTTTCCAGCAAATTTTTATACAGTGTCATTTAATTTGAGGAAGGATACTGTCCAGAAAATTAATGCATACTTTTGTCACAATTTGCCTTTTTGTGGGTGTGTTTTTCTTTTCCTTTTTTTTTTTTTTTTTTTTGCTTCAATACCTCTGCCACTTTGGAACTTGTAACAGTTAATTACTTTGAATGTTGCTAAAAAGACATTTTGTGTAGGGTCAAGTTATTTTTATATGAGTTAATGTGAAGTTGTAAATGGCAATCTTAAGTATAACACAATGATGTCTGTATAAATCTGTGCATATCTCGAGCCTGTGCTGTGTAAGGGCATTCTTACTCACGCTGTTCTTATACTTAGGTAACAGTCAGACTTGTTCTAGTAGGTGTGGTTTATGACTGCCAAGTTTGCCCAGTACAGTAGTTCCATCACTAAATGTTGGGCTTGTGGACGGAGTCCTATAGTAGTTTCAGTGTTAGATACAGTTTTCTACCACACATCTGTGCATTTTCTCTTTTAGGGGACTGAATGTTTAAGAAATTGTGTGCATAGCTGCTCAGTTGTTAGGAACCGTTGTATCCTGTTAATGCATATTGCTCTGTGACTCCAGTATATCTTACCTGTACTGACCAAACCCAAATAAAGATTTTTATTGTACCTTCTTCACTAGTGGTTGCTTTTGTCTTGGTGTTCATACTTTGTCATTAATTTTCGAGTTGTTGGATTTCTGCTCTACGTTTCATCACACCACAGGTGAAATTTAATCCACATATCAGTTTCAGTTGTGCACTAACTTTATTTTTAAAGTGTATGCCTTTGCTAAATGAACTTAGAGTTTGACTACACTGTTGACATTTAATTTTTTTCCCTGATTTGTAAAAATAGTTACAATAAAATATTTGAAAATATGGAAAAGTATCCAGAAGAAAACAGTCTCCTAAGTTCTTGTTAGGTTTTGATTAGAAAGACTTTGGTGGACTGATTTCAATTAGTCTTTGTAGTCAGTGATGTTTGTTTGAAAACATTGACCAGTGCTAGTGGTTTTGACTAAGAATATGATAGCTGCTAGACAATGATGGTGTTAGTCAACCTCATCCCTTGTGAGTGTTAGCAGCTATCATTTGTAGAATGTAGGCGAGAATGTCATCAGAGAATGTCATTGGGGGTAAGACTCAAAGATGGTTTCATTCTCCTCATTTAAGCAGAATACAATAGCAAGGTCCATGGCAAAGGGCTTTGCTTTACAAAGAACACAGCATTTCACATGTGTGGTGCAATGAAATGTATTTGCTAGGAGCAAAATAGTTGGTGTAGACAGTAGTTGTATAATCAAAGAGCTCAGAAGTGGACATTTCAACACTTGAAACCAAAAAACATTTTTGAAATAAACTTTGTTAATTTTGCTGTGCTTTTGCTTGTTTAGTTGGCAGACGGGTGTATCTGTGGTCTTTAGTGCTGTATGAAAATAAACTATTCTTCCTGTCCTGATAATGTTTTATGCAGTCTGCTAAGGTGAATAAAAAGTTCTATGCAATTTTAAATAAAATTGCTTACGATACTTAAACATTTTGGTATATGCTGAAATGTTGTTACATACTGTCGAGTCGGACCCGACTCACAGCAACCCCTCCTTGGGTTTCCGAGGCAATATCACTACAAAAGTAGATTGCCCAACCTTCCAAGGAGTGGCTGGTGGGTTTGAACCACCAGCCTTCTGGTTAGCAGTCACTAACCTAGGCACTATGCTACCTTAGGCACTATGCTACTGGAATTCCCGTATACTGATATACTAAGTAATAATCCCTTGATTTATTAAATACTGTGGCTTTTGGGTGTGTAAGGAGTTCTGGTGGCATAGTGCCTAAGGCATTTTAACCGCTAACCAGAAGGTAGGTGTTTCAAACCCAGCCACTTTATGGCTCAGAAACCCAACGGGGTCATTGAGTCAGAATTGATTCAATGATTCCATGGCAGTGAGTTTGGTTTAGTTTTTTGGAACTTAAACAGGGAGTTACTTTGTGTTGGTGTAAAATAATCATTAGTGGCAACAGGAAATTCATTTTCAACTGGTGTATAATTGTATGGCAGAATTAGACATAGACCTGTTAGCTGCATTTCCAGTTTTTACGTTTCTGTTGTCAGTATTAATAGATGGATAACATAAGAGAATTTAGTAATTCCTCATTCCTGGAATTGGGTTGCTTTGTTTGCTGGTAGAACTACTAATTAGTTGAAAAGGTGGTAGGTAATACTGAGGTTGAGGGAGTGGCCCCGAGCGAATGGTTTGAATCCTCGCTTCACTGCTTCCTGTCCCATGACTTGGGCGGATTATTGAACTTCTCTGTGGCTGTTTTTCCCTGTAAATGAGCTAATACACGTGAAGTGCTTACAACACTGCTGAGGGCATAATGCCCGCCTGGATTCTTACTCAGAGTGAGCCTCCAATCCCGAGGACAGACCTTTGACGGACAAATTTTGTCCAACTAGAAATTTTATTTAGTTTCCATGGAGAGAGAAAAGATAATTGCTTCAGTCAAATGGCTTGTGACATCTATGATGTAAAAGTGAAAAGCTGCCTCAGTTTACTCTTGAAAGTCCATGGCCACCTAGGCGATTCCAACTAAGGGCACAACCCCATGTGTTACAGGGTAGAACCGCCCCATCGGGTTTCCTGGACTGTCATGTTTACAGAAGCAGATTACCCGCAGCGCTCCTGGGTGAGATGAAACTGCCAACCTTTAGGTTAGCGGTCAGCTCTAACCGTTTCTGCCCTTATGGACCTAAAAGTGTATTACTTGTGCCTGAAGGAAACAACAAGTAGGAGTGCACACTTTTGATAACCCGTGGACACAACAGAATACAGTAGCTGGCAAAACGACCTTATGAATGTTACCAAACAAGGTTAATTTTTAAGGACTGACAACTAGGATAAACTCCAAGATTAGGAAGAAAACTTGAATGTGTCTACCAAAATCAGTTGTACTATTAAAAGAGGTATTTTTTTTTTCTTCAAAAAAGGCCTGAACATGTATTTTTACTTCCACTGAGTGTTTACATGCCAAGAACTGGTAAGCATTTTCTATGTGTTATTTTCAGTCACCCTATGAGGCAGGCATTTGTTACCCCACTAAGAAGGGGAAACGGGCTTCAACGGTTGGTTAAGGAAACACTAAAGGGTTGTTAAGGGTTGGAGCCCTCTAGGGGCTGTCTTTAGGCTCCTTGCTAATATCCCCCTCAAGAGTGGCAGCTGAACCAAGTCTGAGTCCAATGAGCCTTGGTTGCTGTCATCATTGCTGTTACCCCGCCCCCTCCAACCTCTAGAATAGGAGGCATTGGACCACTAGCCTTAACGGTCAGTGTGCCAAATCAATGTGCCGCATACCACAGGGCTGAAAACAGTGATATACAATGGCCGTGCCGTGATAGGAAATAGAAGCGACCCCATGTTAAACAGATAGTTGACTAATGTAGTACTCGAAGAGGTTAGTTAAGCTTAGTTTCTCAGAAGTGATTAGTTTGGCCCTTGAAGCAACTGAGGGGTATGAAGTTGTGGAAAAGAGACATGAGAACATTTCACAAGGTCTGGACTGAATGTCCCAGCGGCCATCTCTTCATATGGGTGAGTGACGAAGGAAGGTTTTATGAGAATGTGTATGTAAAGTGCTTGCTACATGGAGTTCAGTAAATGTTAGTTCCCTTGGCCTGAGGTGTGTTGGATGCAAATGACCACCCTTGTTTTTAAGACACTTGGCAAACAGTGCAAAGCCATTCTTTCCACCTGACAATCTTCTTGCTTCACGCTCCCGATGTCTCATACTTAATGGTACTTTGCCCCATGTACTAGGACAAACCTGCCTACTCCTCCAGTGACACTTTCTTGGGCTCCATTCATTCCTGTGGGTATAAATCACCACCCTAATGTCATTACCTTTAATCTTGACCCATCAGGGGAGAGTTGTGGTAAGGGATGTGCCCAACCTCCACTATGTGTCTAGTCCACTCTTCCTCAGTTGGCAAATTCTGCCTCTGGCTAAACCTTGCCAGCACTCCTGCAACTCTCTGTGGAACTTAATCGAGAATGACTGGCAGACCCCCATGGGCATAACTGGCTCAGCCTTGCTATAAGGTTAGCCCAGCTGTTGGCAGCTAGAGAATATAGTGGCTTCCTGCCCACTCACACTCCTGCTTACCTACAGTGCTAGGTAGCATAAGATTCTAGATCTAGAAATAATTCTAAACATTCTTTCCCTCTTCACTAGTCATTATTCTTAGTCCCCATCTGGCCCACACATAACTTTGAGGCAGAAACTAATGAGCAGCTGAAATGAGACATCATCCCCAGAGGACAGGTGCTGTGTAAGAAAATACCTTTCAAAGATTTGCTCTAAGTTTCTGGTTAGAGCCTTCAGGTGGGAAACAATGGAGTATCTCTGTTGCATCCAGAGGAACATTTATAAACAAAGTTTATAGCCTAACAGATGAATTTAGGAATTAGAACACGTGGTTAAGAACACTTAACCAGCCGAGGGGGCACCAAATGCAGGTGATAGGAAGGCTTGGAAGAAGTGACATCCGAGTGGAGTTTAGGCCTGTTAGGTTTGGTGTGCCTACGAAACTTTTAAATGGGTTGACATTATATGGAGTAAATGGATTTTGGAAATCAGTCCCCATAATGGAAGGACCCTGGTTTGCACTCGGGTTGTAACCAGAAGGTGGGCAGTTCAAACCCACCCAGCAGCATTGCAGACACAATCGGTTTGACGATCTGCTTCCATAAGGATTACAGCCAGTTAGACTCTGGAGCACTTGGGGGTTCCTCCTCAGCAACACAACAAAAACAAAAATCAACATCACCCAAACTGGGGTCATGTCCACAGGAAACTACTGAGTCCATTCCAAATTTGCATGAAATTCCAGCCATCACTGATTGTCCCATCCAAGTCCTTACCCTATACTCAAACACACCTTGGCAATATGGACACACACTGATGATAGATAGCTCAGTGTTAATTACTGTTACTCTAAGTAACCTCTGGGGCCTCATGCAGCCCTCTGGATTTGTTAACAGTGCCTTTGGATGACAATCAGGAAAATTCATTAACACTTACTTCACAGGCACTTAACTCCCTACTGTGTGTCAGACATGTTTTAGGTGCCAGGAGAGACCTAGTACCTAGAACAATGCATGATCTCTCCGGGAATGAGCGGCTCCTCCTACTATGTTGAGGCGAGTGGCAGAAATGTGAAGGTCTAATTACCACAGCGTAAGAAGTGACACGCAGAGTTGTACGCTGTGTGTAAAGGGAGCACACAGGAGGGAATGCTCACTGGGTGTGGATGAGGGGAAGACAGGAAAGGTTTTCACAAGACTCAATCTGCCATCGGGGCAGGCTGCAGGAAAGCAAGGGACAGACAGAAGGAGAAGTGCTCTGTCAGAAAAGTAGGAGCCCCCACAGCTACCCTGAGGGTGTGTGGGGGGAGCGACCAGCCAGAGCTGAGGCTGGAAAGTGGTGGGGGCCAGGCGTTGAGGTTGCCACAAAGCTTGAAAGGTTATCAACTTTGTCCAACAGCCGACAGAAAGTCATAAAGGGGTTTAAAGAGAAAAGTGACCCAACATGTTACTACATAGTCCTCTCCTCTCGGACGATCCAAATGGAACAAAGGAAATCCTTTTTGATTTAGCAAACATGACACTCCCGCCTCCCTCATACAGTCACCCCTTAGGGCTGATCTAGGCTAGAAAGGCCAGTGGTACCTACCCCACAGCAGGTGCAGACAAGTCCCCCACCCGTCTGCACAGAGACGGCAGTTGCTACCTAACATGGGAACTTTTTGAGCCCAGATCGTAAAATTGGGCTTTAAATGTCCCTAGGCCTGCCGTTGGCAGGACACAAATTCGTGATTCTCAACACTGGGACTCCAGTCCGGGGCTGACTTGAGACCGTGTCTGTCACCCCCACTCTCTACCGACTCCAAAAACCCTAAAAAAAAAAACTCAGTGCCGTGGAGTCGAATCAGATTCATAGCGACCTCGCCCTGGGTTTCCGAGGCCGTATGTCTACGGAAGTAGATTGCCCAGTCTTTCTTCCGAGGAGTGGCTGGTGGGTTTGAAGCGCCAGCCTTCTGCTTAGCAGTCAAATACCTACGCCACCAGAGCTTTCGGAAAACAAAACAAAACCCTAAGTAAAAGTAAAAGAAAAGGTGAGACTGGACTCGGACGTCCGTAGGGGAGTCTGGGGTGTCGGCAGGAGGTGCCCGGGGGTGTGGCGGTGTAGGGATCCGCAGCCCTGGTCCCTCTAGGTGGGAGAGTCCGGGACTGCGCGATTGTGGGTCCCGCAGCCCCGCCGGCCTCGGAGGGTCGCCGTCTTCCACCCTCCGCCCCCGGGCCTGCGCACTGGCCGGGTCGCGGCGGGCGCGGGCAGGGCGGGGCGCGGACGGGCGCTCAGTCTCCGCCCCTCGCGCGGCTTGTAGGCGGTCGGGCAAAGCTTTATTCGGTGCTTGCCGCGTGGGGCCACACAGCTGAGGAGCAGCAGCGGCGGCAGCATGAGCGCAGGCCCGGACCCCGTGGTTATCGTCTCGGCGGCGCGGACCGCCATCGGTGAGTGGCTGGCGGGCGTCCGAGCTGCCCAGGTGTCTGCACGCTCGCCAGGCGGACGGCGGTGCACGGGGACGAGGAGACCTCGAGGCGGTGGAGGGCTGGCGGGTGGACGCACGCGGCTGCACGGGGCGAGGAGACCCCGCGGCGGTGGAGGGCCGGCGGGCTGGCGGCGGTGAACTGGGCGAGGACACCCAGTGGAAGAGGAGGGGGCGGCAGGAGGACGCCGGTCTCCGCCAAACCCGGGCCTCGCTGCCCGCCTGGGTTGCCCGCCCCTTCTGCCTTGCCCGGCGGGGCGTCCTCCCGCGGGTACTGATTGGCTCCCTGAGGTAGAGCCATGGTCAGCCCTGTGCTGCCATTGGCTAACGCAGAGTTGCTTCCTCTCCTGTGTCTCCTGATTGGCCCGCGTCAGGAAGAGCCATGGGTCACACTTGTGGTGGCGGGGGTGGGGCACCTGCTTGAGGGGTGTTAGTTGAGGGGCGGGCGGAGAGGACGAGAGAGGGGTGGGGGAATTGGGAGGTGATGGGAAGGGAGACAAGCTTGGGATTGTGATTTAGACGAGATGGAAGGATGAGGGGTGTGTGTGTGGAGACTGAGCTGAGGGGACAAGCTTGGGGGGTGTGGCGCAGGGAATGAAATGGGGGGACGAGCTGAGGGAACAAGCTGTTGGCGGGGACAGGCCTGGGAGATGAGCTGCGGGAACGACCTGTGGGGGGCGGATAAACAGAGGAGGATAGCACTCAACTGGGGGTGCTGGGCTGAGGAGGAAGAGGCCTGGGGGATGAGGTGAAGGGATAGAAAACCTGGAGTGGGGCAACCATGGGGGGATGAGGAGGAGAAAGTGGGGGGAGGAGTTGAAGGAACCGGAGGGGAGCTACCAGGGGGTGAGCAACTAGCTGTGGGGGGGGATGAGCTGGGCAGACTGAGGAGGGAGTCAAGGTCAGGACAATCTGGGAGGGAAGTGTAGACAAGCTGAAGGGACCAAGGGGGTGGTGGAGCCAGATGGTGGGGGTTACAAGCTGTGGGGGCACACACACAGGCCAAGCCGAGGCACTTCCTGTTGGATAAAAAATGAAGAATGATTGGCTTCTATCCACTTAGTTATTTAGTTTTCAAAACCCTTTGGCAGGGATCTTTTGGCTTCTTTTGTTTGGGAATCACAGGGAGGTATCCATTTCCCTCAGTTTTCTGGAAATAGCAAGATTGCCCCTGGCTGAAAGCCTCTGTTGGGAGCTCTGGTGTCTAGTGCCTAAGGCATTTGACTGCTAACCAGAAGGCTGCAGTTCAAACCCACCAGCCACTCCTGGGAAGGAACGTTGGGCAATCTACTTCTTTAGAGGTGTACTGTCTTGGAAACCCAAGGGGGGGTTGCTGTGAGTCTGATTTGACTCCACGGCAGTGAGGTTTTTTTTTTTTTTTCTTTTTAGTGGAGGCCTCTGTAAGCCATTCTGAGTGTTGCCTCTCTCATTCACAGCTGTGGCAATTTGTGACAAGTGCCCATGTGCTTTACCTAGCCCTGCTGGTTTGCAAGCCTGTGTAGAGAACAGGGCATACCTCTTCCCTGGGGCTTTCTACACAAGCTCATCTCAGTACTAGGGCATGAGGAGCCCACAGCTTCCGGCCTCTGTGGCTTCTTTATCATTCTCAAGTTTCACCTGTGCTCTCTCTCTGTTATTTTAGGCTCTTTCAATGGTTCCTTATCATCTGTTTCTGTCCATGACCTGGGAGCAACTGTCATCAAAGAAGTCCTGAAGAGGGCCAGTGTTGCTCCAGCAGAGGTGTCTGAGGTCATATTTGGACATGTTTTAACAGCAGGTAACTAACTTATCAGTGATCCTGGCACAGGTCAGGTTTGTTAGAACACTTTGTTAACAAAGAGATTTACATTCTTGTCTCCGTATATTATTCGCTCATGGATTCCCTGCTGTTAGAGCTCCTCCTACCCCTACCTCATCTGCCTATGTTGATAGGTTGTCATCAAGTCAGTTCTGAATCATGGCAACCCTGTGTGCAACAGAAAGGAACACTGCCTGGTCCTGCACCATCCTCACAATCCTTGCTATGCTTGAGCTTATTGTTTCAGCCACTGTCTGTCAGTTTATCTTGTTGAGGGTCTTCCCCTTTTTCACTGACCTGTGACTTTACCAAGCATGATATCCTTCTCCAGGGAATGGTCCCTTCTGACAGCGAGACCAAAGTAGGTGAGACGAAGTCTGGCTATTCTTGATTCATAAGAGCATTCCAGCTGTACTACTTCTGGGACAGATTTCTTTATTCTTTTGACAGTCCGTGGTATTTTTTTTCAGTATTCTTTGCCAACGCCGCAATTCAAAGGCATCCATTTTTTTCTTCAGTCTTCTTTATTCAATGTTCAGCTTTCACATGCATATGAGGCTATTGAAAATACGATGGCTTAGGTCAGGCTCACTTAGTCTTTAAAGTGACATCTTCGCTCCTTAACATTGTAAAGCATTCTTTTGCAGCAGATTTGCCTAGTGAAATAGGACATCTGATTTTTTTTTTTTTTTTAATTCTTACTGTGATTTGGATGAAAGTTTACAGAGAAAATTCATTTTTCATTTTGCATCTCACATATACTTTGTCTCATGACATTGACTGCAGTTTCCCACAGTGCAACAACTCTCTTCCCACTTCCTCCTCATAGTTACTTCTTCCCTATGTCCTTCCTTCCCATGCACTATTGCCCCCCGAGATGTCTCCCTGTGCATACACAGCCCTTCTATTCTCCCATGATTGATCTCTCCAAGGAGTGTTTCTACCTAATATAAATGTTCAGCTCATATGCCTGACTTTTGTTTGGCTGGAAGCTACAAGAGTGGGTTCAGTTTCACACCTAAAGGGCAGCTAGGGGCCATGGTCTCAGGGATTCCACCAGGCTCTATCAGACCAGCAAACCTGGTCACTTTTTTTTTTACTTTTTTTTAAATGAATTTTGAGTTTTGTTCCACATTGTTCTCCAACTCTATTAAGGATCTCCTACATAGATTTCCCCTCTGAATGGTTGACAGCAGTTGCCAGGTACCACCTAGTTCTTCTGGTCTCATAGTCATACCGACTGAGGATCACATGGTATACCAGTACCCTGGACTAACTAATTTTTCCATGCCTCTTTGGTTTTCTTCATTTTTCTTTGTTCTGGATGAGGAGAGACCCATTGCTACATCTAGATGGCTGCTTGCAAGCTTTTAAGATCCCAGTCGCTACTTGCCAAAGTAGGACATGGAACAATGTTTTTGTGTAGTATTTTATGCCAGTTGAGCTTGATGTCCTCTGCGACCATGGTCCCCATCCCACAGGTCCAACTGCTTGCTCCCTCTGGGTAGCTGGCTCTGGCTAAGAAGTGACTATAACCTTGTCCCTTGTTAGCTCCACTATATACCTGGAATTCTTACAGAACATACAAATACACTTGTAGAAACATTGTCTGCCAACCTATACGTGGTCATGGGCACACTCACTCTTGCATAAAACCAAAAATCAGACTCACTGCCATCGAGCCAGATGTGACTCATAGTGAGCTCTCCTTGGGTTTCCAAAGTGATATATCTATGGAAATAAATTGCCCAGTCTTCCTTCTGAGGAGTGGCTGGTGGTTTGAACCACCAGCCTTTTGGTTAGTAGTCAAATGCCTTAGGCACTCCACCACCAGAGACATACCTAATCATTTAGCCTGTCCACCCCATCTATCCACCCAAATAGCCATGTTTTCCTTCACTGACAATGCAGTACTGTATGTGCAAAAGGGTTCATCTTTGTATGTCTCAGGCTCCTCTCCATGTCTTCCTCTTCCTCAGTGTCACTGTGTTGTTCACTCACATTTGGTCCATTGCTCTTGCCTTCACCCAAAGGACATCTGATTTTTGACTGCTGCTCCCATGGCTGATGATCATGGATCCAAATAAAATGAAGTCTTTAACAACTTTAATCTTTTCTTCATTTATTGTGATGTTGCTTATTGGTCCAGTTGTGAGGATTTTTATTTTCTTTATGTTGAGGTCTAATCCATACTGAAGGCTGTATAGTCTTTGATCTTCATCAGTAAGTGCTTCAACAGTTGCTTTGATATAATATGCTGAATGAACCTGGACCATTGTCCTACACCATTTTTTCATTCTCTAGAAGCGTATGCAAATCTGAAATTGACAAAACATGCCATCAAACTGTGTTGATTATCGCTAGTGATTGGAATGCACAAGTTGGAAATGAAGAATAAACACTAGTAGTTGGAAAATAATGGCATTGGTGAGAGAAATAACACTGGAGATTATATGATAAAATTTTGCAAGACCAGTAACTTACTCACTGCAGATACCTTTTTTCAGCAACATAAATGGCAGCTATCACCAGATGGAGTACACAGGAATCAGATCGACTATATCTGTGGAAAGAGGCAATGGAGAAGCTCAGTATCTTCAGCTAGAACAAGGCCAGGAGCTGACTATGGAACTGCTCATATGCATGTTCAAGTTGAAGCTGAAGATAATTAAAACAAGTCCATAAGAGTCAAAATATGACCTTGATTATATCCCTCCTGAATTTAGAGACCATTTAAAGAATAGATTTGATGCACCAGTGATTGAAAACCAGAGGAATTGTGGGATGACATCAAGAACATCACCTATGAAGAAAGCAAAAGGTCACTGAAGAGATAGGAAGGGAAGAAAAGACTAGAATGGATGTCAGAAGAGCCTCTGAAACTTACCCTTGAACAGAGAGTAGTTAAAGCAAATGGAAGAAGTGACAAAAGAGCTGATCAGAAGAATTCAAAGAGCAGCTCAAGAAGACAAAAATCAGTTATTAGAATGAAATGTGCAGAGATCTGGAGTTAGAAAACCAAAAGGGAAGAACATGTTCAGCATTTCTCAAGCTGAAAGAACTGAGGAAAGAATTCAAGCCTAGAGATATAATACTGAAAGATTCTATGGGCAAAATATCGAATGATGCAGGAAACATCAAAAGAAGATGGAAAGAATACAGTCGCTATACCAAAAAGAATTGGCCAGTGTTCATCCATTTCAGGAGGTGGCATATGATCAAGAACCAGAGGTATTGAAGGAAGAAGTCGAAGCTGCACTGAAACAACTGATGAAGAACAAGGCTTCAAGAATTGACAGAATACCCATTGAGATGTTTCAACAAATGGATGCCGTGCTGGAGGCACTTGCTTGTTTATGCTGAGAAATTTGGAAGACAGCTACCTGGCCAACTGACTGGAAGAGAGCCATATCTGTACCCATTCCAAAGAAAAGTGATCCCACAGAATGTGGAAATTATTGAACAATATCATTAATATCTCACACAAGTAAAATCTTGCTGAAGATAATTCGAAAACAGTTGTAGCAGTATATTGACAGAGAACTTCTGGAAATGCATGCTGGGTTCAGAGGAGGATGTGGAACAAGGGATATCATTGTTGATGCCAGATGGATTATGGCTCAAAGCTAAGAATACCAGAAAGATGTTTACTTGTGTTTTATTCACTATGCAAAAGCATTTGATTGTGTGGATCCTAACAAAGTATGAATAACATTAAGAAGAATGGGAATTCCAGAACAGTTAATTGGGCTCATGAGGAACCTGTACGTAGACCAGGAGACTGTCGTTTGAACAGAGCAAGGGGCTACTGCGTGGTTTGAAATCAAGAAGGGAGTGTGTCAGGGTTGTATCCTTTCACCATACTTACTCAGTCTGTGTGCTGAGCACATAATCTGAGAAGCTGGACCATATGAAGAAGAGCATGGCATCAAGATTGGAGGAAAACTCATTAACAACCTGTGATATGCAGACAACACACCTTTGCTTATTGAAAGTGAGCATGACTTGAAGCACCTACTGATGAAGGTTAAAGACTACAGTCTGCAGTGTGAATTACATCTTAACATAAAGAAAATGAAAATCCTCACTACTGGACCAATAAGCAACATCATGATAAATGGAGAAAAGATTGAAGTTGTCAAAGATTTCATATTAACTTTGTTCCACAATCAGCACCAATGGAAACAGTAGTCAAGACATCAGACAATGTATTCCACTGGGCAAATCTGCTGCAAAAGAGCTCTTGAAAGTGCTGAAGAGCAAAGATGTCTCTTTGAAGACTAAGGTGTCCCTCACCCAAGCCATGGTATTTCCAACTGCATGTGACAGCATATGCCTGTGAGAGCTGGACAATGAATAAGGAAGACCAAAGAAGAGTTGATGCTTTTGAGTTGTGTTGGCGAAGAATACTGAAAGTACCATGGACTGCTGAAGAACAAATAAGTCTGCCCTGGAAGAAGTGCAGCCGGAATGCTCCTTGGAAGCAAGAATGGCCAGAGTTTGTCTCACCCACTTTGATCATGTTGTCAGAAGGGACCATTCCCTGGAGAAGGATATCATGCTTAGTAAAGTGAAGGGTCGGGGAAAAAGGGGAAGGCCTTTACCAAGATGGATTGACATAGTGGCTATAATGATGGGCTCAGGTATAGCAAGGATTGTGAGACTTGCACAGGACCAGGCAGTGTTTTGATCTGTTTTACAGAGGGTTGCCATGAGTTGGAGCCGACTCACCAGCCCCTAACAAGAACAGAAATATATGAGGATAAACATGGCCCTCCACACTCCCTGAAATACCAGCCATCCAGTCACATGTGCTGAATTTCTCCTGTGTGCCAGCCCTGTGCTAGATGGTGATCTGGTTCCAGCAACAATAATAAGGTCCTTGTCCTCATCGAGGTCACTGTTGAGCTGGGTAAGGGGGAAAGGGAAGAAGGAGATGGCTGACGGATAGGGATGACGTGAGAAGACAGTGATTTGGCAAGAGCTCCTGGGTGGTATGGATAGTTAAACACTAGTAACTGAAAGGTTGGCAGTTAGAACCTACCCAGAGGCAATGTGCAATAAAGGCTTGGTGATCTGCTTCTGAAAGTTCATAGCCTTGAAAACACTATAGGAGTTCTACTCTGCACACATGGAGTTGTCAGGAGTTGGAATCAACTCAGCTGCAATTGGTATGGAAAATCATAGCAATTTCAAAGAATTGAACCAGTGTGCTGGTTGTACAAGTGAATGTTCACATAAGTCAACCGGGAATTGGGCAATTGCTGCTGGTGACAGAGGAGGTCTGGAGTTTGGCCACTGGCATGGGTGAGTTGAGTAGGAAGAGAGGGAAGGCAAACAGCAGAGTTCAAGGAACTGGGAGTCAGTGTGTTGCCTGGGGCTACCATGGGGGTGCTGAGGTAACAGATTGAGACAGGAGTTGGGCTGGAGGAGAAAGCTGTAAGAACTGGAGTTTAGAAAGAGGGAGAGCAGCCGGAGTGGTAGCTTGGTGGAGGGGAAGGATCCTGCCTGAAGGCATGGGCTGCAGAGGAGGAGGGTCTTAAGATAAGTTACCAGGTCAGGGTCTGTGAGGAGTAAGGGCAGGGCCTTAACTTTAGGCTTGGGTCAGTGAAGCCTAGGAGAATGAAGGCTCCCACTCAGGGAAAGCATGTCCTCAGGGAAAAACAGGATGTGCTGAGAAGAGGTGAAGGAAGGGAGGGTTTGGAGTCACTGAGTGGGAAATCTAGATGTAGCAGTGAAGAAGCCAGACTACCTGGTTCACGTGCCAGTTCACACAACAATGTAGAAGACTGTTGGCTGACTCTCTCTAAGTTGGGAGCTCTGGTAGTATAGTGCCTAAGGCACTTGACTGCTAACCAGAAGGCTGGTGGTTCAAACCCACCAACCACTCCTCGGAAGGAAGGTTGGGCAATCTACTTCCGTAGTGATACTGCCTCCAAAACCCAAGGAGGGGTCCCTGTGAGGCAGCACATAACAACAACAACAACAACTCTGTAAGTTGCCTAAGCTACCTCTGCCTCATTTTCCACAGGTATGAAATAGAGATAAAACCCATAGTACTTCTTAGAGGATTACATGAATTATTGCACACAGAAAGGAGATAAATGTTGGCTTTTGAGGTTAATATTATTAGGAAATTTCTCCACTGGGGGTTCATTCCTTGGTGTTAAGTATTGTCTTAATCCTAAATTTTAAAAAGCAAATCAGGGATAGCTAACAACCCACCATTGAGGTTAGGACATTTCTTTTGTCTGGTGCAAGCTGGGTGCTTCCATGAAGCCAAGAGGAAGAGAAGTGTTCAGATACTGAAGTTTGTCATAAACTCATTTTTCCTTGAGGTGATTCTGGGGCTACATGTACTACGTGTAAAAATGGCCTGGTGGGGGCATCTGACCTCTAACTTCACAAGAGGGACAGACAAGATTAACAGCCCAAGGCTGATTGCTATGAGGCGGCCAGACGTGTTTCTACTCCCCAACCTTTTTACCAATTCTGACACCAGCCATCCCTCCCAGGGCCCTCTCTGCTTCTCTGCTGGGTTCAGTAATTTGGTTGCAGGGGCCACACGGAGTTCATGGACAATACTTATGATCAGGGGATTTATTAGGGAAGTTGGTCACAGTTTGGGTTCAGGAATATCATTCAGGGTACAGTTCTTGGATCGGGACAGCCTGTTCTCAGCTGGGGCCACAGGGAGCAGGACAGGGGAGCCCCCTGTGCCATCTTCTGGTTCCACCATCACCATTTCTCTGCTGCTGCTTGTTGTCATCTCCGTTGTTAAACTCACTCTCTGTCTTCTGGGGTGAAGAGTTTCTTAGAGCAGGGATCCATGTCCAAAGGACACGCTCTGCCTCCTTATCTTGGTGGTGGTAGTCAGGACCCCCCCTTCCACCTCTGTGATAGTTCATTTTACACCTATCAGGATGGCAAACTGAGCAATTCCCTCGTTAGGGTTCCATATGTTGTATTTGCATGGTCCCACCCCACAAGCGTTCCACCTTATTTCTACTAGGGAGCTATCCAGTCCTCCTGGTGGGCCACAAGCACTTCATTTGCATAGTCCCACCCAGTCATTTAGTGGGATTTACAGAGACTGGCTGGAAGGGCCATACTGCATAGTTCATTGGGTCATGCATTATGGTCCAGCCTTTCTCTGTCCCCTTGTTTCTTTCTTTCTTTGTACTTCTTTCTCCACAAGTAGCTGTGCTCCAGGGTGGAGCACCTAGTAGGCCCAGTTCTTGCTGGGTCTAGAGTTGTTAGCAATGCTTCTAACTTCCCCATATGGAGCAGGGTTTATCTTAGAAGCCCCAGGGCATGCCCTCTGGAGTGAATGGCCTCCTTTGGAATGCTTTAGGGACAGACTCCTTGGGGATGGCCTTGAGAGCCACAGCTGCTTTTTGCTGGCTGCCTCAAGAGCCCCATGATGCTTCTGGACTCCACATTCCTGTATTCGTGCCTGTTGCTGGTGCCCCCGCTGAAAGGGCTCCTGATGTGACAGTGGAAACCTGCCCTTCCTTCCAGAGAAACTCCTGCTGGGGCACCACTCAAAGGTCCTGGGTGTGCAGCAGGAAGACAGGTTGCACCTGCTGTTCTCAAGGGGTGGGAGGGTCTGCAGGTCTGTCCCTGGACTGGAGGTAGCTGAGTGGGGAGAGTGCACACGTCTCACTTAGGATTCCTGCTTGGTTCGTAGACCAACAACCATTGGCCATTTCTAACCAGTTAGCTTTTAGTCACTAGTTTCATGCTCACACAGCAGCGTACATTCTAATTACTAGTAATGGAAAGTGGTAATGTTCACCCAAACCACTTTTAGTTCTGTCTGTGAGAGCTGTGCCATTTGTCTGTGTCTTTTCTTGGTAACTTTGTAGTCCTTCTAGTTGCTTCTTCCTCAGCTTGTCCTGTGGGCCTTAAAGCCCCTTATCAATCACACCACTTCTTCCTGATTTTCTAAGGACCCCTCAGCCCCCTGACTTGTCCTTTCTGGATCGTAGCACTCCACCAGTGTTTCTGCTGTTTTCTTCTGTGTCTGTCACTCCTACAGAACCTCTCACACTATTGCAAGTGAAAATAATACCTGTGTTTTTTGAGTACTAGGCCTTTGAAGCATAGTCCCACCCAATCGTTTGATGGGAGTTATAAGGACTGGGTTAAAAGGACATTTAAGTACTTTACTTTTGATTACTTCACTCAGTCCTCCTTATGAATCTGTTGGATCCTATTGTGTCCGTCTTTATGATCTTCCTATAATCTTCCTCTTTAGGGATGGAGGACAAAAAGCATACAACTGAAATAACTAGAGAGCCGTGTGAAACTGAAAACAAACGAGTTGTGGAGTTGGTTCCAGTGGATAGTGGCTGCGTGTGTAGAGAGTAGAACTGCTCCATAGGGTTGTCAAAGCTGTGACCTTTCAGAAACAGATTGCCAGACCTTTCTTCTGCAGTACCTTGGGGTAGGTTTGAACCACCAGCCTTTTGGTTAACAGTGAAATGCTCAGTAATCATTTGCACCAGCCAGGGCCTAGTGAGCAGTACAGACAGTCTGTAAGATGAAGGGCCAGACTGTGTGAGGTGTAGAGGCCACACAGGCCCATCTGCCTCTGCAGTGATCTTGGTGGGGCTCTGGGCTTACGGCAGTGCTAGAGACCTGGGAGGCAGCTCCCCCAGAAGTCAGCTCTCCCAGGAGGCAGCTCCTGACTTTGCATACACTCTTCCTCTGACCTTCTGTTTTGCACCTTGATTGCTGAGAGGCATCTGCTCCCCTTCCAGGTTGTGGACAGAATCCTGTTCGACAAGCCAGTATGGGGGCAGGAATCCCCTACACTGTTCCAGCATGGAGCTGCCAGATGATCTGTGGGTCAGGCCTGAAAGCTGTGTGCCTTGCAGCCCAATCGGTAGGGCTGGGAGACTCCAGCATTGTGGTCGCAGGAGGCATGGAGAGTATGAGCAAGGTAAGGCCTCCAAGGGGATAGCCCTCACTGACAAACCCACTATCATGTTGTAGCGGGTGGGGCACACTGATGCACAGCGGGCTGGAGCCAAATAGCCAACCAAAAAATATCTTTGAGCCCTACCTGAATGCTAACTGCTTCAAAACCAAAAATCAAAACTCACCGCAGTATCACTACGGAAGTAGATAGAGAGCGGTGTTATACTGCCCAATCTTTCCTTCTGAGGAAGTGGATGGGAAATTCAGGGTGAAGAAACAACCTGTCAACTAGCATAATTGGAACAGAATTAAAAAAAAAAAAGAAAACCAGACTCACTGCCGTCCATTTGAATCCGACTCATAGTGACCCCTCCTTGGGTTTCTGAAGCGGTATATACAGAAGTCAATTGCCCAGCCTTCCTGTTTCTAAAATGTTGTTACTGAAGCATAAAATATTTTCTGAATTAAACCTATAACATTAGTCATTGATGTTCCTTTTAAAACATTTCTGGGGAGGAAAAGTCAGAAACAGAGGTAGCCACTGAACCTTCTTGCAAATGGCAAGGAGGATCCTTGGGAGCGGACTCTGCTGCCCTTTAGGGTATAGGCCATGCAAGAGTGACCTGTGCGTGTACCCTGGTCCAGTCAGTGTGCCAGATGGAACGTTTTTCAGCAAGGTCTATCCCTCAAGTTGGGACAGCGGAGAGAAAAAGTTGACCGCTGCTTCCCCCTGAGGCAACTCAGGTCAGAGGCTGGTTCGGCCCAGTCTTGCTGAGGCTCAGGAGCAGGGAGGCTAAGGTAGCAAAATGGTCATGGATTTTGATGGGTGCTCACAGAGCTGTTCTACCATCTGTGTGGACTTACCCAGGTGCTTTGGTAGATGTGGCCTTTTTTGAAGTCCCACAAACAGCCCTTACAGGGTGGTGGTTGATACTGTTGAGTTGATTCCAACTCATGGTGACTCCATGTGACAAAGTAGAGTTGGTCCATGTTGTTTTCAAGGCTCTGATCTTTTGGAAGCAGATTAGATTGTCAGGCCTGTGTGTCTTCCAAGGTGCCTCTGGATGGGTTTGAACTACCATCCTTTGGGTAGTTGTGCCACCCAGGGACTCCATATAAATTAGGTGATACTTCTCCTAACTGATACTTAAGGAGGCCTAGAGCTGGGGTTCCAGGGTACCTGACTCCCAGTTGAGTGCTCTTTTGACTCTAGTATAGCTGCTGTTGAGTTGGTGACAGTTAAGAGCACTCTACCCTGAAATCCTTTCCCATCAATTAATTAGGTAACCTGATTATTCTCACTCTAGGTATTATGTCTCCCATCAAAATAAGCAACACATTGTTGGTGTCCCTTCAGCTTCAGGCAAGCTGTTCATTTAATAGCTAAATAGTCTCTTTGGAAAGAATAAATGGAGTAAGGAACTAGGAAGGTGCTCTCATGGTATAGTGGTTAAGGCATTTGACTGCTAACCAAAAGGTTGGTGGTTTGAACCTACCAGCTGCTCCATGGAAAAACAATGAGGTAGTCTGCTTCTGTAAAGATTTACAGCCTTGGAAAACCCCATAGGGGTCTATAGGAGTTGGAATCGACTCAATGGAGGTAAGTTTTTTTTTTTTTTTTTTTAAAGGAACTAGGGGAGGAGTCCTGTGGTACAGTGGGTAAGTGCTTGGCTACTAACTGAAAGGTCCGTGGCTCGAACCTACCAGCGGCTCTATGGGAGAAAGACTTGGCAATTTGCTCCCATAAAAATTATGGCCTAGGAAACGCTATGAGGAAGTTCTATTCTGTCCTTTAGGTTCATTGGAATCAACTTGACAACAGTGAGTTTGGGTTTGTTAAGGAGCTAGGACACAGAATGGATAGGTTTTGATGAAGAAGTGGGAATGAGTAGGTAGAGTAATGGGTTCACAAGGTAGGCAGGGTGGGGTAGGTAGTCTTCTGACTCCTGGGATCTTCAAGCCCTGGAACCTGAGTGAGGAGTAGAGTAGGTAAGAAGAGGGGAGAAAGGGTGGTAAGGAGGACTGGGTGCAGACTGAGGAAGCATTGTTGGGTGGTTTTGAGTGGGATCCTAAGGAAAGGACTAATTACAACCCAGCCCAAGTCCATTTCTGTTCTTGTGTCCAGGCTCCTCACTTGGTTCACTTGAGAACAGGAGTAAAGATGGGGGAGATGCCTCTGCTGGACAGCATACTGTGTGATGGTCTTACAGATGCATTTCACAACTACCACATGGGGGTTACAGGTAAGGCAGACCTAACTGAGAGTACAGCCACCAAGAAAGGGTGAATAAGTAACTGGTACGTAGGTGCGCATGTCTAGAGAGACCTGGAACCAGTGGTACCCCAGCAGCAGCGAGCAGTCCTTACACCAGGCCCTTGTTCTTGAGTACCACTGTCCATTTGAAGGAGCTAGAGCTCCCTGGGGAAAGGCCCCCTTCCAGCACTGGTGATATGTTGCAAGGACAGGAGCCAGTTCAAAGGGCTCCCACTATGCAAATGTTGGCCAATATGGGAATCAAAATAAATGATGCCAGCAGTTAGGGGAGGAAGGGTAGGGGGACAGGTGGAGCACAGGGCAATTTTAGGGCAGTGAAACTACTCTGTATGGTAGCTGTCAGGATGGACACCTGCCATATGCATTTGTCAAAACCCATGGAACTGACAACACACAGGGACCCCTGATGTATGGGCATTAGTTAATGTATTAATATTGGTTCATCAGTTGTAACAAACACACCACACAAATGCAAGGTGTTAATACTAGGAGAAACTGCAAGGGGGCAAGGGGCATATGGGAACTCTGCTGCCTGCATAACTTTTGTGTACAGCTAAATATACTCTAAAAAATACAGGCCATTATAAAGAATAAATAATGATAGTAATGGATTAAAGCTGGCTAAATAAAATGAAAATGCATGAGTCCATCTTCATATAAATAACTGAGTCTGTGGGGAGGGAAGAGAAAGGTCATTACAGGAGAAGGCCAGCTGAGTGATATGTCAGGAAGGAGCATGGGAGTTAGAAAACCATGAATGAGTGCTGCAGTTAGTGGAGAGAGAATTTGAGGAGGAAGATTTGAATAATCTGAAGTTACTTACTAATTTCATAAATCTCATAAATTAGTTATTAATTATAAATGGAAAAATAGTAAATTTACATTGTGGAAATTTTGTGGACGCTTAACCAAGTGATCAAAGCTAATGTCACCTGAGAAACTGGCATCAAGTGTGTCCTGATAAGATGCCATGAGATCACTGTTGTCAGTCAGTGGGTCCCTGCCTGCCTCTTGCATAATCTTGCTTAATGAGGAGCCATCACACACCCAAATGAGGGGACATTCCACAAAAGACCTGGCCCCTGCTTTTCAGAAATACTAAGGTCCTCATTATGGATTGAACCTCATCCTTCCATGCATAGTGTGTGTTGGAATCCTAACTTGTATACATGCAGATGTGACCTGTCTGGGAACAGGGCTGTATGTTAATGAATTCATATCAAAGTAAAGGGTGTGTTAACACGAGGAGCAGATAGGCACAGAAGCAAGGAAGCTGGAATGGGAGAAAATAAACGCCCACTGCATGAAGATCACAAGGAACCAAGGAAGCTGAAAAGAGACCAGGGCCTTCCCTTGAGGCCAACAGAGAAAACGTTCCCCTAGAACTGATTCCCAGAACTTGTACTTCTAGCCTCCTCAACTGTGAGAAAATAAATGTTTGTTCAGGCTACTACCCATTTGTGATGTTTCTGTTACAGCAGTACTAGAAAAGCAAGACAGTCCAGAAAACTCAAGCTAGTCTGAGGAACTGTACCAGAGAAGAGGAATTGCAGTGCACAAGCCTGGGTTAGCTCCTGGACTGAACAAGCCAAATAGGAGTAAAGGGCATCAATGGGACAACAGATGGAATTTATATATGGACCGAGGGTTTGATAAATAGCAGTCAGGCATCAACACCCACAGTACGTTCCATGAAATAGGACAGTATGTGATTTGGATGTTGTGCTAACATCATTATATACAGGCAGTACCTGGATTACAATTGAGTTCCATTCCTAAGTCTGTTTAAGTCAAATTTATTACGTTAAGTAGGAACAGTTATGGACGGTTCATATCTAACGTCAGTTGAATGTCTTAATATATAGTGTACCTTTCTATGCATAAAATACATTAAAGAAACCCTTCCAGATAAATTAAAATATCTTCGACATAATAACAGTAATAATAATGTTTTGATGTGTGTTGCAAAGTAGTGCCTGTTGTTATTACAAACCATTTTATGTTCCTCGAATTTTTGATATAATAGGCTTTATAGGGGTTAGAACCATGGATGTATGTGTAGTTGGATGTTGCCTTGACAGACCTTACGTTGCACAAGAGTGTACTGTATTGAGGTTAAATTTCCTGATTTTGATAACTGTTAAGTCGGAGAACGGCCTTGCTTTGGGGAAATACACGGTGAAGTTAAAATTTAGGGTAAAGGGTTACAACCCTTCTGACTTTCTCTGAAATGCTTCTGAGAAAAAGGACAACAGGCAAATGGAGTAAAATATAAACAGTGGGTAGATCTGCACAAAGGAAAATTCTGTAAGGTGAAAATTATATAGAAAAGAAGAAACATGAAAAGAATGTGTTAGTGGTTCCGTCGTGCCCCCAAAAAAGGTGTGTTGAAGTCCTAACCCCTGCACCTATGATTGTGACCTTGTTTGAAGTTGTCATGAGAACATACGAGAGTAGGATCAAGCCTTATCCACTACGATTGATACAAGAGAAGCAGCACAGAGACAGGGTAGATGCCACGGGAAGACAAATGACGTATCTACAGGCCAGAAAGCCAGGGATCACCAGGAGCCACCTGACGCTTAGAGACAAAGAAAGCTTGACCCTGCTGCCAACCTGAATATGGCCTTCAAGCCTCTAAACTGTGACACAGTACATTTCTGCTGTTTTGGGATGGTTTGTTTTGGCAGCCTCAGGAGACTAGTACAGAAGGCTTCTTCAGAGTCACTGAGACCTTCACTGCCAGTGGCGGCAAGATTGCCACAGAGCAGTTGAGAGGCGCCAGCGCTGCACGCTCAATGCTTCTTTAAATGTGAACAGCCTGAGCTTCCAAGAGCCAGCTCATGAAACTAACTGTGCTGTTTGTATTTATTTCCCACTTCTCAGCTGAAAATGTAGCCAAGAAATGGCAAGTGAGCAGAGAAGATCAAGACAAGATTGCACTTCTGTCCCAGAACAGGACAGAGCACGCCCAGAAAGCGGGCTACTTCGACAAAGAGATCGTGCCAGTCTTTGTATCGTCTAGAAAAGGTGGGTGTATTGGAAACAGTGACGTCCAAAAGGAAAACACCTAGGAGCATTTGTGAGGCCAGGAAAGATGTGTAGATGCATCTGAATGTGGAAGTGGGATAGGGATCTTCTAAGTTTCCAGTAGGAGGAAATGTGGGAAACTGTCACCAGCCATTCTAGGCTCAAGTGTCCAGGGCTGGTGTCTCATACAGCAGGTTTCGTGGCAAACGGGAGCATTGGTTCTTGGGTGCCAGCAGGCTTTGACTGACCTGCTCCCCACAGGCCACATCTCTTCAGAAGTGAACGTCCCTTCCTTTCTGTTGCTTCTGTGTGCATCTTACATTTAGATTTCCTGAGAATGAGTCTTTTGGGGTCACTTAGCCATTATGTAATAAGGAGTGCTGTGGTCCAGGTCCCTTATTGGTGACTAACTCAGGTTCAGTACCTATAAGCTTAGTTAGCCTTGAGACTCCCTGATCTAGTCCATTGTAACTAACAAAGTCCTCTGAAGGAACTGTGGGTGTGGTAACAGAATGTTTCCTGGCCTATCAGGTAGATTATGGCTTTTCGTGCACCAGAGAGGCCAGTTACACATGAGGGAGCTCATGTGCAAGAGTGACAGGGAAGTAAATTTTGGAAGGAGCCGTCAAGTAACAGTTTAATAGAAAATAATTGTAAGGGGAAGGCAAAATGGCTGCATGGGTCACGTGATCTACACGTTTTAAGCAGGCTCACTGGTATATTATCTGTAAGTCCAGTGGAAGACCCTACTACTCATTTTTGCATTCTGGGTGTAAAATGTAGTTCATTTTTCAAAAGATGTGGATCTTCTTTGTGTAAAGTTGGTAACTCCATCTTCACTGCCAGTTATGTGGTGAGGATCAACATGAATGTATTCCCTACATGTGGGGATTGGCCCAGCCCCATCTTCCCACTCCTCCATTCTCATCACCAGCTGTCCCTGTGGCCCTCTCACCCTAAATACCCAGACATAAGTCAGCACTCACAGATTAACAGGAAACCAGCCTTCAGACTGCCACATAGGTAGATGCCAGCTACAAATTCAGGGAGCCCACGACACCCCAGGCTTCTGCCCTGCTGGCTTCGGCTTTGGGGCGGTTTCCCATTGCCCCTTCAGGATGCCAGCCAAAAGCTTGTGAATCCATACAGCATCCTCACTTTGTGACCTGCTGGTTCCGATTACTCCTTTGGGTTCAGTAACTCTGGAACAACTCCCAGGACTCATGGAGGGTATACCATATTTAGGACTCCAGATTCGTTATAGTCCCAGAGGATACAGACAGATGCATAAGGCAGGGTCTGGGAGGGTTCCCAACACGGAGTTTCCATTTCCCAAGGACTGTGTTACCATCACAGAGGGCAGATGCCACTCCCTAGCTACCAAAATTCCAAACTCAATGCTGTTGAGTTGGATCCAATTAATCGTGAATCCTCCTTGGGTTTCTGGGGCAGTATTACTATGGAAGTAGATTGCCCAGCCTTCCTTCCAAGGAGTGGCTGGTGGGTTTTAACTGCTACCCTTCTGGTTAGCTATCACATGCCTTAGGCACTACGCCACCAGAACCCAACCCCGCCCCCCAAGCTAGGAGGCTCACTCTAAGCCTGTGTATTCAGGGCTGGTGCCAGCTAATCCTGCATGGTAGGCTGATCATGCCTCAGACTAATTGATCCTGACCTCCCAGGCGAGTACTCTGGTATGGCCAGCCCCTACTCATCAGCATACATCTCAGAGCCAAAGGCCACCTTACTGAGGGTAAAACATGGTTTTTACCCCACATGAGGAGCTTTCGTGGCACTGTGGTTAAGGCATTGGACTGCTAACCAGAAGGTTGGTATGAACCGACTAGCTGCTCCATGGGAGAAAGATGAGACAGTCTGCTTCCATAAAGATTTACAGCCTTGGAAAACCTATGGGGCAGTTGTAATTTGTCCTGTAGGGTTGCTGTGAGTCAGAATCAACTTGATGGCAGTGGGTTTGGTTTTACCCCATGTTGTTCATTGGCATGGAAACCAGGAGGGCAAAGGGTGTTAAGCTTGTCCAGTGGAAGCTGATGGGTGCGCCCTCTAAAATGCTCTCCAGCATCAAGGAAGCTGCTTTCCTTCATGCACACGTGCTGAGGACACACTGGGGTGGGTACACTGATGACCGGAAATGTGGCCCTTGAGAGGATTGCAGTGCAAAGGTAGAGATTCCCAAGTAATTGCTATATTGTATATTACCGATTTTCAACAAGCAAATGGATTTTCCTTGCGTGAGAAATCCAAACTTGTGTTCCTCTTGAGCTCTTTTTAAAGATAAAAAAAAAAAGTTCAAGGTGCTAAAGGGAGCTCTGGTGGCATAGTGCCCAAGGCATTTGACTGCTAACCAGAAGGCTGGTGGTTCAAACCCACCAGCCACTCCTTGGAAGGAAGGTTGGGCAATCTATTTCTATAGTGATACCGCCTCAGAAACCCAAGGGGAGGGATCGCTATGAGTCGGATCCTACTTGATGGCAGTGAGCTTGGTTTTGGGGGGGTTTTTTTGTGCTAAAAATATGAAATTGGTCATTTTAACCATTTTGAAGCATACAATTCAGTGGCATTAATTACAATTAAGTGTAACCATCACCACTAAGAGATTTCTAATATTTTTTAATCCCCCAGAAGTTGGGTCCTCTCCAGACAGTAACCCCATTCTTCCTTGGGTGGTTTTGCAGAGTTGACATGAAATGTTTTAACATCCATTAGTTCTTAGATTGTGTCTACTTTCCCCCTATTGGAAGTGGTTATGTGTTAATAAGCCTCTCTTCCAAACTGTCTTGAGAAATCCACCAGACAGCTATAGCATGCTCAGGGCCATCTCTGTACTCATCTTCTCGTAGGTCTTACTGAAGTTAAAACAGATGAGTTTCCACGACACGGGAGCAACATAGAAGCCATGTCCAAGCTAAAGCCTTTCTTCCTTACAGATGGAACAGGAACAGTTACCCCAGCAAACGCTTCAGGTTAGAGGATCTGTAAGGTAGTTAGAGCTAGTCACCTTCTGCAAGTCTGTTACGAGTTAAAATCTTTTTCTAACTTTTCATTTCATTAACTGCTTATAAACGGTACTTTCATAAACTATCCTTCCCCACTCCTTTAATCTTTCCACTTTCTTTTGTGGATTATTGTGGTCATTTCTAACTATAAAGTCTGTTAAATTACGGACAGTTCTGCCAGGATGCTTTAAGAATTATTTACCTCCTATCTTCAGGTGGGAGGGAAAGCAGGCCGATTCATGGCGGAGGTGTTAAGCAGCATTATTCCCGAAGTACAGACATTCCTGTTTTACAGGAATAAATGATGGTGCTGCAGCCGTGGTCCTTATGAAGAAGTCTGAAGCTGTTAATCGTGGCCTGACACCTTTAGCAGAGATAGTTTCCTGGTCACAAGTAGGTGTAGACCCTTCCATTATGGGAACAGGACCAATTCCAGCGATCAAGCAAGCCGTGAGTGTAACACTTTGTTCTTACTGTTCTAATTAGCTCAGCTCTTTGGAACCAGACCAATAACCTGCAGTGCCATCAAGTTCCCTTCCTCTGAGCCTTCACTCAGATCTCCTTCCCACTGCAAAATGCCAGGATTGTGTTTCATGTTGTCTTCCAATTACTTCAGTCTCCCCACTAGCCTTCAATAAGCTTCATCACTTTTCTTACTTTCCTTCCCATGCACACAGCTCAGAACATCTGGGTCACATGCATTCTCGGGGACTGACTCTGAATCACTGACCACACACACAGATGCTATTGGTGCAAAACTTGGTAGAATTCCTAAGGGATGCTTTAGAGAACACAGCTTAACCTTTCAAAATTGATGTCACCAAGGCAAAATGTGTGAGGTCTAAGATTGATGGCGCACCGTGAGTGGCAGTTTATAGATCCTTCAGAATCGTGCAGCACACTCGCTTGTTGACTTCTACAGGGAACGGTTTCACTCGAGCCTGTTAATTCGAGCTCTTCCACCCCTACCCCATTCATGTCCCCTTCAGGTTGCGAAAGCAGGGTGGTCACTGGAGGATGTCGATGTGTTTGAGATCAATGAAGCCTTTGCAGCCCTCTCTGTTGCCATTGCTAAGGAGCTGGGATTAAATCCAGAGAAGGTAAACAGGGGCAAGCAGTCCTGCCAACTCACAACTTCCTGTTGCTGCTTCCCAAGGCAAAATGCTTCAAGTACGTTAGTTCACTTCTTGCATTAACAGGGCAACAGTTTTTAAACTAAGGAACTAGATAAGGTAGGCATGGATGCAAAGGTGTGAATTTGTTCCATTGAAAATGGAATGAAAGGGCAGTTTATAGATGTAATATTGGGGAAGGGGGAAACAGTTTTAGGATTTTAATCCTGTGTCCACAGAACAAAGGAGCTCTTACGGTGTAGTAAAGGATTTGGCTGTTACCAGAGGTTGGTGGTTCAAAAAGCATGGCTGCTCTGGGGGAGGAAGATGAGGCAGCCCCCTTCCATAGATTATAACCTTAAAAAACCAGTGGGGGTCACTGAGTCTGAAATGACTTAATGGCAGTTAGTGGGTGGTAGTGTCCACAGAACAATCTGAAATAAACCTTTCCCGACAGGTCAACATTCAAGGAGGGGCCATAGCCTTGGGTCATCCCTTGGGAGCATCTGGATGCCGAATCCTCGTGACCCTGTTACACAGCATGGAGAGAACTGGTGTAAATCGAGGTGTTGCTGCCCTGTGCATTGGGGGAGGGATGGGAATAGCAATGTGTGTTCAGAGAGGATGAAATTGTGCTAACAATGAATCTTCTTTAAATTCGAACCTCACTTTTTAAAAACTTTTATGATACTGAAATGGACCAAACTGGAGCTGGAAATGACACAGTAACTCAAAGCTTGACAGCTCTTCATATTTTAATGTGTTAATAGTTGATGTACAAGACAACTGCATCTAACATTGTTATAAATAAATCCCATCAGTCATTAAGGGCTCCTGAGTGCACAGCATCTTCATAACCTCCATGTTTATCATCTTTACTTTCTGGGTGTAATTTAATAAGATCGTCAATCCGAAGAATGGTAATGGCAGCTTCAGTTGCAAATTTCAAACTCTTCACTTTAACTATTGTTGGTTCAAACACCCCTGCTTGCTTGTTGTCGCGAGGTTTGCCATTGACCAGATCAAGACCAATCCTGCCAGTTCAAACACAAATTACTGAATGGCTCTTAATACATAACATGCCCTACCTGTTTTATTTTAAAAGTTAATATAATATAAAACTAACAGCCCATAGGCCTTGCTATTCCATGTAAGTGTTTATCTTGGGTCATGTGGGTCCCTTTATAACTACGCAAGCAGCACTGACAACAGAAAAAACCTAAACGGTAGTCAGGGTAAGTAACTGCGAACATCATTTCCAGCTGGACAAGCGACAGTAGGAATATGCTTTATTATTCAGTAGGACTAGGTCTTTGTGCATTTGTGTCACTATGACAGAAACAGGCAGGGATCACAGAAAGCAGGCCAGGACACCAATGCTCACAAAGCCCCACTGTCTGAATTAGGACTGACTGAACAATAAGCTGTATGTTTTCAGGTCAAATAGCTGACAAGTCTGCTATCTTCCAAATATCTGGTTGCTGTGACCCTAAACACAACAGAGCAGAACACTGCCTGGTCCAAAGGTCTAGGAAGAGCTATAAATAGGTATCTAACCTCACAAATTTAATTAACGATGAAAATGACTGGGAAATTGACTGCTTACCATTTTAGATTTTTACGTTCAGGGTTAACTTGCGCCTCATTGTGAAAAGCTCTTAACTTTGCAACCAAATCTGTGGAGTCTTGGGCAGCATTAACTGCTAGTGTGTTCGGGATAACAAGGAGAGATCTCGCAAACTCTGCAATAGCCAGCTGTTCTCGAGAGCCCTAAGAACAAAGACAATTGAGTACTTTCACAAAAGGAGAAGTCTGCCACAGTAGTGGCTCTGAAGTTCCCAAACAAGGCAGAGTCCCATGCCAGAGGTTCCCTTCCGGGCCCACCTTGTCCTTACCATGCTAGTCGCATAGTTCTCAAGGTATATGGACAGGGCTGCTTCTACAGCGCCCCCACCTGGAACCACAGATTTTGACTCCAGAACTCTCTTCACCACACAAAGGGCATCATGTAGAGAGCGCTCCATCTCATCACACATGAAATCATTCGCCCCACGTAAGATGATAGATGCGGATGTGCGCGCCTTAGTGCTGTTAGAAACAAAAACCAGCAAGATTCTAAACTCAGTATTCGATGTAACTCTGTATCGTAATTCACCATGCCCTTTTTAAAATCCTGCCTACATAGGTGCTAGGCAAATTCTGTACCTAAAAACAATGTCTAGACCATGCAAAAGAGATAAAATGATGACTTCATCTCAATTTACAAAGGTCTCATATGTTTTATCCCATGCGTATAACTGCTCATATCACTGAGAGACAATAGCAGCAAATAAATGGGAAATCGGTCTATTTTTACCTTTAGTAGTGAGAAAACCTATGTAGCTTTATAATTCAGGAAGTAGCTCTCTTACTTTTTTATTAAAATGAGCTCATCATCACAAATTCTCTCCTGTACCACCTCCTCGGCTTGTCCCAACATTGCAGCTTCAAAAGTTTCCTCACCTTCCAGATTGGCCAGGGTCGAAAGAATAGTTGCTATTAAGAGAATCACAGACCTGTAAATATCATTCCTTCGTACACTTCCCTCCTGAAGGCTAATAATCTATTTTTGATTCAGAAACATTTACTTATGATAAAAGTGTCATGTAAAACACAAGTTTAAGTTTCTAGGTAAGCAACTGTCCTCCTATCTCGAGATGGAATTATGTCAGTTTTCAATAAATTTAGTTATTAAACAACTTTTTCCATTACACACAAAATGTCTTATCAAATAAAAATGTAACAGCACAAAGGGAATGGAAACACTGTGCTTCTGAAATGGCAGTGTCGCCATTCCAGTACGTAGTCGGGTTGATTAGCATGAAGGATTCTCTCAGAGCTGGCAGAAAACTTACCTCCCGAGGCTTTAGCAATGCGTTTAAGGTCCCTTTTTAAAACTCTTCTAACTGCCATTGCACCAGCCTCCACAAAATACTTCAGACACATATCATCAATGCCACCAGTGGTTAGAATAACGTTGGCCCCAGTCGCCAGGATCTTCTGAATCCTCTCCTTGGTGATATCGGATTCTCTATAGAGAAAACAGATTTGAGTGTTAACCCAAATGATCTTGTGTATTTTTGTGTAATACAGCTACATTTCCTGTTAAGTGTTTTCCACAAAATTGTGGATTAAACTGTATTGACTATTCATTCCCATTTATGACCAAAACTTTTATCAGTCTAATCAGCAGAAATTAAATAGTACACTTAGATCCTCCTGCCTCGATCTCTGTTCCCTGGTCCTAATAACTAAGAACTGTGCTTAGAAACAAATGGATTACTGACCTTTACTATCAATGAATGACTCATAAACCCAAAATTTCACAAGAAGTCTATATTCTCCTAAGTCAAAAACCCAAATCTTCTTAAAGCACCACCATGCTAATTTTCTTCTAAGTTTACATAAAATAGTCTAGCTTCAAATAAAATATTTTTAAAATCCCTCCCAAGATACACTTGAAAATCTACTTGTATAAACACCACATTCAGCATCCCAGTAAATAGTTCTGCATTATCTGGTTCCATTATCCATTAATCAAAACACTCTTTTTTTTTTTTACTTTGTCATCATGACAGTCCTGTTCAAACACAAGTATAACTTGTAAGACACACCTCTGTCTAATCTGGTCCAGTTTTTCAGGGTCTGTAATAACCACCTGCACCCCAAGCTTCATTTTTGTCTTCTGAAGGCTGAAGTCGAGGCAAGCAATTTTGGCATTAACTATTCTCTTGGGCATGCCTATGAGTGAACAAAATATTAAGTTCCTTCACAGTAACTACAGCCATGCTGTTTTACAAACAACACCCTTAACACATAATAAAACCAAGCACAAGGACATTATGTTGTCCTATGTGTACACACAGACTTAGACTGTAGTTTACTACATTACCCTTAGAAGAAATTTTCACAAGTTCAAATGCATGTGATTTAATCTGCACGTTTGCTCAGTTTTAAGTGGTTAAATTACAAAAGGGAAACTAACGTGATGAAGAGTTTCTTTTTCCCTGAGCTTCATTTAAAAGAGCAGTCAGTGAACATCTTGGACAGGTCATCTAAAAAGGTACAGTATGTGGCCCACAAAAAAATCGTCTTCACCTGTGGTCCTCGTCATACGACCCAATCCCAGGCCTTCTTTACCTTGCGATCCCACCACACAGTTCAGTGCATAGCCACTGATCAGCAGACTCTCTGTCTGACTTCTTCCATGGGCTTTCAGGATATTAACAGAATTGACTGGATAGCGAGGCTGGCCTCTTCCATCTGTGTATTTAATAGCAAGTACAGCATCCACCACCATATTAGCAAAGAAATCACCATTTCTAACCCCATGGTTAAGGATAATCACAGACTTGGAATGGATAAAAATTACATATAAAAATAAAGGGTAATTCAAAGGGACTGGTTTCCTTTTCACAATTTCATTCATCAAAGAAACAAGCATTATTTATGCCATCCAAATATGACAGTACTGTTTATCATTATCTTCCTTTTTTATACCATTAAAAAAAAAAATTATTTCTGCAGTTTCCTTTCCCTGCAACCCCAGTAACCAACAGGGAAAGTTTCCTTCCATAAATAAACCTTTCCCTGACTTTTTACAATACTGAATACAATTATTTGTCCTTTTTTGATTGACTTATTTCACTCAGCATCATGTCCTCCAAGCTTATCCATGTTCATTTGAAACCATTTTTACGCACATTTTACTCTCCTTCTACCCCCTGAAAAGCAGAGAAGGCAACAGGCAACCTTAACACAGTATCTTCTATCTGGAATGCAGTATCAATTTCATATGGGCCAGTTACCCCAGCACAAAACTGACATAAGATCTTATTTTGAAAAAGCTGAACAAGGATACATTCCAATGATTTTGGAAGACATCGATGTCTTAGCAGCATTTATCAGGCAATCTCTTCCAAGTTCATCTGTGTTAATAATTAGGTTTTCACTGATATAACGCACTGCTTCTCTGTTTAAAGTATGGGGGAGAAAACGTAACTTCACTACTCACACTATTTTGGTTATCAAAATGTCATCAGCATTAACTTTTTGTATAGCCATTTCATGTAGGAGGAGGACACAAAAATAAACCTCCCTCTTCAGATCATGGCAATTTTAATCTATCCCACAAGCATAGCCACTAAAATCTACCATTAAGATCTGAAGTGGTAGTCAAATGGGAAAAAAAGCAAACAGCCCTACTTCTTACTTCAAATACTACTATGTAAACACTAAAACACAACTCTTTCAAAATAAAATTGCCACTAACCAAAACATTCATTTGAAAAGACAGAACATAATTATTCCATCAATAACATTTTTCAGTGTATGCAAACAATCTTACTTGCAAGCAAGGCGATAGCCACTAATCACTGATGTGGGATGAATTTTCTGTTTGACTAGTTCATCTGCATTTTTCAGAAGTTCTGCTGCTATAATAACCTGTTGAGAAAACATTCATTGCTCTTATGCCTGACAATATGTGAAATATGTATGTAAAAACACCGCAATGATCAGACAATAACCAGAGCGGTGATGGTGGCAAAATAAACTAGCTGTTAAATAAAGCCTACACTGTCTTTTGTAGGCAGATGGCAAAAACCAGTTAAGAGCTAAGATATCGGATCAGTCACACATAAGTACAAGACTACACACTCATTACCTCTAGAGATTAAATGCTCAGCAGAAGCTAAAGGAAGTCTGATTCCTCAAGTGACCTGTACAATTTCAGGTTATGGTTTGGTTTACTTTGAAAACAGTTCTCCTGAGAAACACTAGGTGTCCTTGGGGAGCACAAAGGGTTAACTCACTAGATGGCTAATCGAAAAGTTGGTGGATTAAGTACAACCAGAGGCACCTCAGAAGAAAAAGCCTGGTGTCTTGCTTCTAAAAAAAATACAGCCACTGGAAACCCTAAGGAGCAGTTCTCTGACACACAGGGTCACCATGAGTAGAGAAGACTCAACGGCATCTGGTTTACTGGCTAAGGAATGCTAAAAAAATACTTTTAATATCCTCCTTACCAAACTGTTCCTACCACACCAGTGTGCTGGATGATCTCTGAGAAGTGTAAATGGCCCCACTAATCACAGCCACTGGTTGCTTCTCTCAAGAGTTACACCGTGGTGAATGAAATCCTCACATTTCCATTTTGAACTCTTTAGACTGCCTGTAACTTCCAAAATATAAGCTAAAATAATATATTTTTAAAAAAGTTAACATTATTTCTTCTAAAAACTTATAAAGGAAAGGCTTATAAACGTCATTAATTTCTGTACAGCCATTTCATGTAGGAGGAGGACACGAACACCCTCCCTCTTCAGATCATGGCAATTTTAATCTATCCCACAAGCATAGCCACTAAAATCTATTATTAAGACCTGAAGTGGTAGTCAAATGGGAAGGAAAATAAAACGACACAGAGTAGGGTTGGGGAAAGAAAAACTCTTCTGTGATGTATGAATATTGTCAAAAATTGCAAAAACCAACATTTAAATGAGGGGGTTATGCACTCTATGGGAGCTCTGGTGGTGTAGTGCCTAAAGCATCTGACTGCTAACCAGAAGGCTGGCAATTCAAACCCACCAGCCACTCGTTGGAAGGAAGATAGGGCAATCTACTTCTGTAAAGATAACCGCCTTGGAAACTCAAGGAGGGGACCTACTTGATGGCAGTGAGTTTGGTTTTTGCCAGTCTACCAACTGAGTACCTACCACTGAAGTAGTCCCATCTCCAACCTCCTTATCTTGAAGATCAGCCAGCTCACAAAGAACCTTTGCTGCAGGATGTTCTACCTCCAGTAACTTCAGAATTGTCGCACCATCATTAGTAATGGTTACATCCTGAGAAAATTTCAGGGAAAAACCACAACAGTAATCACCCACAGAACAGAACAGCTAGCCCCTCAATTAATACTGCCCCAAGATGACATCTTCAAATACCAACATGTGATAAAGACAAAAAATTCACATTGCAAAAGTTTAAAAAAATTCCTTTTCTTTATGGCAAAGAACACAACAGCTATGTGTACTTACACCAATGTCATCCACCAACATTTTATCCAAGCCAACTGGACCAAGAGAACTTTTCACAATATTGGCAATAGAAGCTGCAGCCATAACTGTTGACAAACAAATGAGGGCGGGGGGGAAAAAATTAGAAAAACCTACTACTCCAAAGAGTTCTCATTTCAGCTGGAAAAACCAAAACGAGAAATGACATCCAGGAACCTCTACGTTTTCCAAATTTTCAAATGTTCCCTTATTTTAGAAGTTATCTACTGAAAACCTTAAAATATTGATTATGAATATATTTTCAGAGGGGATGCTGTGCTTCCTTACAGAATTAAAAAAGCAATCTAGTCAGTTTCATGTTATCACTTCATACAGAACAGCTAAAAATCAGCACTTCCTTCAGATCCTAACAGGTTTTTTTTTGTTGTTGTTAAAAACCAAACCAAACTCATTACATTAGCACTTTATTTACAAGGAAGTGAAAAAGCCGTAATGGAACGAGGAGACGCTGACTTAATGTCAGATTCGCCCAAGATAGAAATCAGGAATCCACAAAAGAGACTTAACAGTTACCAAAAACTGTTAATAAAGCATATCGGTGTTGGCTAGAGTCAGTTAAGAATCGCCTTCCTTAATTACTTTAGAGCGACGAACATTAGCGTTTAATTGGAATGTCGCCAGCTCGTTTTATTAGAAGATGTCAGCGACAGGTGAGCTAAGAACTCATCTGGACAGCGGGGAACGGCCTCCGCCGCAGCGGAGCACGAGTGCGCTACAACGCGCGAGCCACCTCAACCCTGCGGCCATCTGTAAAGCGGAGCACGAGAATAGAGGAAGATGCTCTCCACTGCGATCGGAACAAACCGGCTGCCATTGCAGCCGGCACGTTTCCGAGCAGCCGGCTCTCTTTCCCGGCCCGCGGCCTCGGCCTCCCCGCCGACCTGGCGCAGTTCTCACAACGGGCTGCGCGGCCCAGCATTCTCCCCCTTTGGGGAGAGGACGCGGCCCCCCGCCTAGAAGAGGCGAGACCCGCCGCCGGGGAATCCGGCCAAAGGAGCCTCGGGGGCTCTTTTTTGGGAAGAAAAGGAGAACAAATGCAAGCGGGGTGACCACAGGCCCGGGACGGGGGCTCGGCGCCACCAGGCCTCGCCGCCCTTACCGTTCTGGGATCGGATCGCCTCCCCGGTGCTGCGGTCCCCAAACACGGACAAGGGCCCCTCCATCTTCGCTGTAAACTACACAAATCCCACTCGCACCGCGAACGACAAGCGTCTCGTTTCCCAGACCCGCGGTGGCGACAGCAGCGGCCGTAACAGCGTGGACCCTCCCGAGCAACGCCGCGGGGGCTGCTGGGTAACACCACCCACCCTGACTTCCTCCGCTCCCGGCAACCCTGCCGCAGAGCACGGCGGGAAAGAAAGGGGGGGCGTAAAGAAGCGTGCAAACGCCGGAAGTGGGAAAGAGGAAGAAGGCGGGCACAGACGTATGTCATCATTTTTGTCCAATTAGAGTGCGGATGAGAAGGCCGCGAAAGTCGGAGAGCAGATGTCAGGACCCTGGACCACTGGAGGAAGAAGGTGCTTTGGTGAGCGTTCACCTCCGGCACGGTTGCGCATGCGAGTTGGGACGTTCTAGTGACTTCTAGAAAAGGTAGTTGGTCTAGTGGGGTTTGGAGTTGGGGGTGTGGCAGAAAGGGGCGGGCTCTTCTTCAAGAGAGAGCTGCGGTTCTGAACACGTCATGCATGTTAGCCGCATGCTTTATTCCTTCGCTTCCATAAATGTTGAAGCTGCTAGGTGAACGGGAGGCAGGTCGGCCAGGTTTTGCACCAGGGCTCGTGAATGTGCCGTTGGGACCTAAACGTCGGTAGGACGGATCAGGAGCACCGCCAAACCTTTGGCGTGGGCCCTAGGGCAGAAGCTGTAGTTCAAGGAAGACAATCTGCATTTTAAAACACTTGTGCATGTAGCCTTGCCCCATTGCCTGCCAGTGCCCAGTGGGATGTGTGTGGATCTGACATAGTCCGATTTACGACTAGAGCGCCCAAATATGAGGACGTGAAGTTAGGGTACCTCCAAGGGGAAAGCTCCTTGACCCCCAGGGCAGTTGGCATCTCCAGCGGACCACGAAAACGAAATGTTAAGGCCGGACTGGCACACAAAGCTTTGCCTTTACATACGGCACCACCCCTAGTGCGTTCTTGCGAGATGGTCCGCTCTGGGCCAGCGTGCGTCTACACCTAGGTGGTGATTGGGGAAACGGGGATGACAGACAGCCCGCTCGGCCACTCAGCCGCCGGGGCTGGTTGGTTCCGGGGCGAGGGTGGCTCGTGTTGGAGAATTGGATGACCTCCAGCGGTCTCAGCTTCTCCTAGAGTCAGTATGGCTGCCGGCGTGGGCAGCTGAGCCGCCCGAGGAGGTGGACAGGGCTTTTCCGAGGCTTTGCGTGCGGTCCTCTCCATGATGGCGCTTCGGTTGCGGTTCTGGGCGTTAGCCGTTTGCAGAAACCCCGGTAACTAATTTTGCCCTATTTTTCTCAGATTACTCCTTGGAGCCTCCCTAGTAAGTGTAAACTAAACATTCAGCATCCACCATCGAAAAGTAAATTTGTGATGACCGTAGTAAATTAAGAATCTTTTGATCAAATATATATTACGTTCTCCTTGCAGGGCGGGAAGATCGGAGGGGTGGGCAGAGGTCAGATTTTATTCCTGTTCTGTTGCTGTGTTTTAGTTAGGTGTGTTGGTTTCCGTTTCCCTAGAGTTTGGGTTTGCAGGCCTCTCAACCAGTTCCACATCGGCGGTGAAGCCCGAAGTAGACCCCGTGGATAATGAAGCTGTTGCCCCTGAGTTCACTAACCGGAATCCCCGGAATCTGGAGCTCTTGGCTGTGGCCAGGAAGGAACGGGGCTGGGGGACAGTGTGGCCCTCGCGGGAGTTCTGGCACAGGTAATGTAGTCCACGGGGGGGCGGTAGCCTGCAAATTGGTTTTAGCCATTCATCTGACACACGTTTATCCAACCCTCACTATATGCCAGGAAGCTGGCATGGAGTGAAACAAACAAGTAAATACGTATCATTAAGAAAATGCAAAGAAGATGTCACTGGGGGACTGGGTGCCTACTAAGACTTCTTTAAGGAGGCAACACTTAAAAGCCGGGAAAAGAAAGTAGGAGGAAAGCAGACCATCTGTGTGAAATGCAGGGAAGAGCAAAGGACAGGGCTGAGTAGAGCAGAAGTGAGCTTGGTGAGTGTGGGACAGAAAGGCCTGTTACCTGGAGGGCAGTGAGCAGAGGGCTTAGTGGTGTGATGAGAATGCTTGAGCAGGTAGAGGCCTACTGTTATATTTGTAAATCAAGCTGAGCAGTTTAAACTGTATTTTCACTACCGTGAGAAGCTGTGAAAGGTTTTAAGGTTTGAGCCTGAGTGATAATGGATTTTAATGATCTTTGTGTTTTGGAGAGAATATGTTTTTAAGAGGGCAAGAGTAGGAAGGAAGACCAGGTTAAAAAACTAAAAACCAAACCCATTGCTACCAAGTTTCTTCCTACTCATAGAAATCCTATAGGACAGAGTAGAATCACTCTGTAGGGTTCCCAAGGCAGTAAATCTTTACAAAAGCACGCTGCGACATCTTTCTCCCATGGAGTGGCTGGTGGGTTCAAACCCCTAACGTTTTGGTTAGAGTGCTTAACCATTGCTCCACCAGGAAGATCAGTTGGGGGGAAAAAAAAACACAAACCCACCCATTGCCATCAAGTAGATTCATAGCAACCCTACAAAACAGAGTAGAACTGCCCTCAAAGGGTTTCCAAAGCTGAAAAAAGCAGACTGCCTCATCGTTTGCCAGTGGAGCGGCTGGTGGGTTCAAACTGTGACCTTTTGATTAGCAGCCCAATGTCTTATTCCAGCCATGAGATGTTTTGTTGTAAAGATGGTTCTTTATTGAACATTTACTAACTGCCAGCACTATGCTTGTTTCTTTATATGCACTTTCTTGTTTAATTCATAAAACGCTTATGAGGCAGTACAATGACTTTTTCCATTTGATGGGAGCAGAGGAATTGAAGCTTACAACCAAACTCAAATCCACTGCCATTGACTCGTAGCAACCCTGTAGGACAGAGTAGAACTGCCCCATAGGGTTTCCAAGGCTGTAAATGTTTGTGGAAGCAGACCACGTCATCTTTCTCCCTTGGAGCAGCTGGTGGGTTCGAACCACTGGCAGTTTTTGGTTAGCAGACTGGTGCTTTAGCCACTGTGCCACCAGAGCTCTTAATTGAAGCTTAGGGAGGCTAAGCAATTCCCTCCGAATGACATGGTCAGTCAGTTCCAGAACTAGGATTCAAACTTGTTCTGTCCGACCTCAGCCAGGGCACTAAATTATTACCACTAAGCTGCCACTTCTAAGCTTCTTTGCTGTTCCTCTGCTTGGTTAGGATTAGTTAAAAATACAAGTTTTGACTCCTGTATAGGTTGTACCCACCATCTGAAAGTAAAGCATTCCTAGAAACTTTTCATAAGCTGAAATGGCATAAAGCAAAAAAGCAGTTCCTGTACCATTCATCTCTGGATAAAATGTTTGCACATTCCCAGACCCAAAAGTAACCCACCAAATTGTGCCAAGTAACACAGAGACCCTTGTGGAACACTAATACAGAGTGTGCACGGACGCAGCTCCAAGCTGTGCGGGTTGGTGTGGAAACACTGACTCCGGCACCCTGGGAACTGCTCAGGCTGTGTGTCGCCTCTGTGATGACTCACTGCAAAACAAACACTGAACGCTCGTTTGGCTCTTCACCTCGTTTGTAAAAGTGAAAATCCTCTCTGGAGTTCTCTGATTTAGTTACAACAGGTACTAATGGAGGTCTTTTGTAAAAGCAAAATGACATACAAAGCGAACTTTCAAAAAGCAGGGCATTCCTGTATAAAGTTACAAGAACAAATTGCAGATCATAATCGTGTGATGTATTCATTCATTCAACAAACATTGGGCTTATGTCACCAGTTAGACGTTATGCTAGATGCAGGAGATACAGAGCAAATAGACATCATCCCTGTCTCCGCACGTCTTACAGTCTAGTAGTGGAAGATGGGATAGGAATAATAGAGTGTTACAGTTGTCATGATACATTTTCACTTAGTGTACAGGTCGAATTAAAGGAAGCAGGCAGTTCAAATTGAAAGTGATTTGGCTCTGAAGTCTAGAAGGCTTAAAACATGACATGTTACCTTCCCTTAGTATTGTTGTTGTGACTCGTAGTGACCCCTCCTTGGGTTGCCGAGATAGTATCACTACGGAAGTAGATTGCCCAACCTTCCTTCAGAGGTATTTGGATCATTTAAATAACTGTTGTTGTTGTTAAGTGCCGTCGAGTCGTTTCCGACTCATAGCGACCCTATGCACAGCAGAACGAAACACTGCCCTATCCCGCGCCAGCCCCACAATCCCAGCTATACTTGAGCTCATCATTGCAGCCACCGTATCAATCCATCTCGTTGAAGGCCTCCCCCTCTTTTGTCGACCCTCCACCCTACCAAGCATGACATCCTTCTCCAGGGAATGGTCCCTCCTTACAACATGACCAAAATAGGTGAGACGAAGTCTGGCCATTCT